TTATTTTGGCTTCCTCAAAGAAGGGGACCACAGTGATGAATCAACATTTTAAGGAGGGAAAACAAAGRTGAGGAGGCCATACACCTTTTCTGAAGCAAGAGGGCGTCATAGGGATTAGGAAAGTGCCCTTCCTCCTTCTCACCTAGGACTTCCTGGAATGATAAAGCTTAAGAGAAGGGATTCTGGGCTGGCATTGCCTAATGTTGCCAGGATTATTCAAATTTAACACCAGGCTCAGTGGACAGAAAATARGAGCCAGCTCTTCATGCTCAACCTAGACTGAAGTTAAATGATGCACCCCTATGTTCTCTGTGAATCCTGTGTACTGGGCTTGATAAAGATTCAAAGAGTAGATATGTCTTACTGTACTATAAACATTTTGGTTTGTCTTCATTTTATATAATGAATAGCAGTCTTACAAGACAGGTGTATCATCTTTAGCTTCTGGATGGGAAAATCAGGAAGGATTGCAGTTCCAGAAGAAATCAATGTATTCTCTAAAAGTTTAACTGAGGAAAAAAGATATTTTCAGCATAGGGGCAAGGCATAGGGGACTAAAAAAGCACCTGGGGAACTGATAGTGGCTTAAAAATGGGAGGGAGTTGGATTCCAGAGGAAGGTGAGTTGGACGGGAGCTATCTGTATCCTAGAGTATCAAATCAGAGACAGTGGGGTAATAAATTCCAAACCTCCCCTCTCTCTGAACTTGGACTCTCCCATGTATACTCCTGATATCAGTTTAGGAGTTTACATGAGTATAAGAAAATATGTACAACAGAAAATTCTGAGTGCCCTGTGACAGGTTTCAGTCACATAAATCACAGCAAAAAATGTTATTTCTTACTTTGGATAACACCCCATTAAAATACATTGCTGGATATGTTACCCTCATATGACTTCAAGCAACCTCACAAGAARTGCCCTTGATTCCAAAATATAGAAAGGGCCAAACCCATGGGAAGACTCAAAAACAGCAAACATTTTCAGAATTTGGATAGTTGCAATTTAGCCCACATTTTGCCAAGAACTACATGTTGTGAACAAGAATTTCATCAGTAGGAGGAGCAGCAACAGCAGGAAGTGGCCAGGAAGTGGCAGGTGTATCTTTGTGGTCTCAGCAATTCCAATAACTTAGAATCAAGGAATTTTCTTTATATAACTCTAGGAAAGAGTTGTGGCTTTGTTACTGTACAGACCTTGCTTTTTTTGTTATGAGCCACCTAATAGCTTTATGACCTTGGGGGCTTTTTTTTTTTTTTTTGGCAAAATCTCTTTGATTTGTGAAACAGAAATAAATGCCTCTTGGAGTCATGGAGGCTTTATGTAACTAACGCTAATATATGTAAAGCATCTGGCCTGCAGTATGAGTTCTATGAGTAACGGTGATTCCTCTTTGTACTGCTGAATCCAACATAGGCTTTTAAGCAAAAGAGGTTATTTTATGTGTATGCACATTCCTTACTGAAAATTCTAATATTATTATAACAAGAAATTGTTTTATGGGTGATTTTGTAAATCATGGGTAAAGTTAACACTCTCAATTAAATYCGAAATTAAATCCCACCAAAATTCTATTGTGCAGAGAAAGCTGCTAGCAAGGACCAAGAGTAAGGAAAAGAGCAGTGTAAAGTTCTGCTTGGGTATCCTGTATTGAAACTGGTGTTAGAAATGTAAGACCACCAGCTTTGTGGTCTTCCCCACCACTCCACCCTACCCACTGGCCACCAACAGCAGTAAAAATATATTTTTATACTTTTGAGCATTAGACTTTTATTTTAAACAAAGACACTTTATTTTGCAAATCAAACTTTATGCATAACCTTATTATGCTTTCCAATTATTACTGAATAAATGAATAAATATTAAACCTAATTATAAAATTTCCTAAAATTCAGCCAGGGTTTTTCTTCTTTTTCTTTTTTTTTTGTTCCATAATTACGAAACCAATAATTGTCAAACTTCTTTGACCCAGGTAATCATTTTCAATCAATGGGATAAGGGAAGAGGGGGAAAAAAAATCCCATGTAGGAATGATGTATGTAAATGAGCTTGCTTATGAGAATATCTTTTTTTTCTTTTTATGATACAGGCCAGTCACAGCACACATCCAGTTCAGAGGATGCTAATAAAAACTTTGCCCACCTCTCTCAGCCCATCTTTCTTACTCAGGCAGTTTCCAAGCAGTTCTTTGATGGAGACACAATCTTCGGTTTCCAGGACAAACTGTTCCACAGCCTTKCGTCCTGGCAGATGGCTCCTTACAGTCTTATTTTTGATACTGTCCAAGACGACTCCCCTGATGTCTTTAGGTTTTCCCGGCACACCAAAGATGATGAACAAGCCCAGACAATCCTCTCCTATCAAGTTACAGAATTCTTCCAGCTTATCAAATCTACTTCTCTTCCAGGAAGACTCCTCTACCCTYGACTCCGGACTGGGGAAGTCACAAGGTTTTGACTGCACAGGAGGAAGAGAAGCCATCTGTAGAGTCTGAACCGCCAGCTGAAGCCTTATTTGCTTATCAGATCCCCAAAAGGTCCAAACCCAGTCCGCCCCAAATAGTAAGGCTTGGTGCTTGGTCATCTTGGTGGTGGTGAGCCACTCATCAACTCCCTTTTCTTGGCAGAAAGTGATGAAGTGGATTAAGAAGATCTCATTCAGAGTATTTGCAGCTGGGCAGAGTTTGCTCTGTGGATACTCAAATCCAAGATACTCCTTGAGCTTCTGAGCTGCATGGACTATGGCTTCACTGACCACCTCACAGATGCTGAGAACCTCAGTGCTGTCCTTCAGAGCCAACTGCTGTGATGCTTTTTGCCCCATTTTCTCTGCACCCAATCAATACTGCTCCCAAACATCAAGCATGTGAATGTCATTCAGAATTGCTTCTTTTTCRGAGGAAAAGTTCTGCAATGAAGTCACAACTGTTAATATGATCACAGTTTCCTAGCCCTATACTTCCTTGGTATAGCTAAGCATATAGACACACTGCTAAGCAAACATGTGAGGGCTCCCTGTTTGTCAAGTAGGTGTGCTGTATTCATACAGATTCCTGCTGGTTTATTAAGTTACACGTTTTCAATTTCACACAAAACATCTGTTCTTCTCTGTGTTATGTTTACTCTACTTTTAATCTTTGGTAATTTCTTCCTAGATGTTCCTTCTTCCAAAAGATAGTATGCTCTTCAAAGGTGTGTGGGTCATATTCATACACCTCTTTCTATAACTGGCTTCAAATCTGTAGGTGAGTCATTGCTGTTTACTTTTCCTATATCCTTTCTGTCATGATTCCTCATTCCCCCACTCAGTTGATTATATTCCTTTCATATAATCTTTCTCAAAGACCTCAGATTTTTCTCCAATGATACACATTAGGCACTCCACTTAAACAAATTTATGGATGTTTACCAATGAGAAAGAGTTTGTTACTATTTTCTACACCAGAAACCAAGCCCATCTGTTATTTTGAACCAGGTAAAAATTAAACAACGATAATAAAGGCATTAGGCAATTAAGTATTGACTTTATTTCCTCTCATATGGCAATACCAGCAGTGTATAATATTTTGCAAATAAAATATATCATTGAAAAAATTTTAATCTTAAAGAAAATTTGGCATTTTTTAACAGTCTTCTGGTATTTTCAACCAGTTTCTAATAACAAATTGAGTTTTTCAAATGGTGACATATATTCACATTAAAATAAAATCCAAATACAGGAAGAGTCCAATATAGTTACCAAGTGTTGAATGATAAAAAGTTCAAAGGAAATCACCATAGCATCAAATCCTTTCAGTTATGAATAAATAGTAATCTATGTTATAAGTTCCTTGATGAATAGCTTGGTAACTTGCTAACAATATAAAATATAACACCACTGATATTCAAATAGAGTTTATAAACAAGTTCACTCACATTGACTGAACTGCCCACCTCATTCCATCTTGTGAACACCCATCCTTTCCACAGTTGACCATCATAAGCATATGTAGCACTGAATGAAAAATAGATTTTTTCTAATACCCCATAAAAAACACAAATAGTACAGTTTTTGCTGCAACTATTTATTTTTAAATAAAGAAAATTTGAGTTTTGTGTTATAGAAAAACAGGAACTACATTTTATGTAATGAAATAGCCATTATATAATTAGTTTTGCAGCCTCAGAATTTTTGAATCTGATTGAAATGAAATGAAGCTCCATTTATTGATGGCCCGAGAAACATACCATTATCTAGGCAGACTGTTAGTACTTTGATGTAATGATGTATGTAACAAAGAAGAAAATAAAAAACACTATAAAGTTTTTGTTTTATTTTTTATTTCTTTAGAAATTATCTCTACCAATTTTGACAGGGGTCTGTGTGAATGTTTATGAATATATTCAAGTTAATGGTATAGTAACGTCCCTTGAGTTCTTCCTTGTAAGATAAATGGATCCAAGATTAAAATCAAAATAGATTGCTCTACAATTCTGTGGTGCCATTAAAAAAGGCTATTTCATGTATGTTAATTTAGCCTGAAAGATAAACTTTGTTAAAAAGTTCAGCTGTGAAGAAAGAAAAATCTCTTAAGGACCATCTGGAACAAGAAAATTTAGATCACTATGTTTTGTTTTTATCTGATTTTGTTTTTATTTTCAATGTGATCTTGCCATCATCTTCCTTATGTCACAAAATAAAAAGTTCTATTTTCTATGTACTATATATATACATATATTTAGAAAAATATATAAAAATAAGATAAGAGGCAAGTGGAGGTGTAGCTGGCATTCAGTGGGCACACAAAATTCCATACACTGCCTCTGAGCACAGAGTGTCCTGCTTAGATGGCTGCAGTGAGCAATGATGTGTCAAAGTCATTCACACCCTGGTTACTGCTCCCCAAATCCTCCATGCTGGGATGTGCAACACTTTAAATACAATACATCATGGATTTTTACATTAAATAGAGGAACAAAAATTATACTATCATTCACCAGTGTCTCATTTTTTGTGGCAAATTCTGAATAGGCACAATTCTCCTGTTGTCCATTTCCACTTCTAAATGAGAAAAAGTTGGAATGATAAACAATATACAATCTGTTGCTTATAGTACACAATGTAAGTATTTAAAAAATAAAGTGGAAAAAAGACAAAGGGCTCCTACTGCTCATCCAGGTCAAACGTTTGAATCTTCGTCTGTAATGCTGGCACTGGGAGAGCGGGCAGCAAAATCTTTAAACATGTCATCTTCCTTCAACATGTGCTGAAAAACAAGCAGATAGGGATTCACACTCTGAGTTCTGAGCTCAGAACTACACATTCTCCAATATACATGCAATCCTTTGGGGTTATTTTAGGTTTCAATTCATTTTTCAGACTTACTGTGAGATTGTTGATGCCTTCAGAGAATGCCCCTATTTGTCTCACTGTCCCTTCTGAATCTTCCATCTGTGGACATGACATACTCATTTTCATAATTTCAAGGAAACAGCAGAAATATGAATAAAAGTAGAAGAAAAACAGAAAAGTTGCAGAAATAACACAAATAGTATGGAATGGGTAGAAGCAACATAACATTTTTGATGATAATCTCTTATCATTATTAGAAGGAACACTGGACTAGAACATCTAGTCTGATGATTCTTACAATGGCACCAAAGGACTACTGATTAGAGGGCAAACATGCAGTGCGTAGYTTGAATCTGAAAAGTCTAGGTCGTAGGACCTGTCCAATCCTGACTTGTTCTAGTGCACAGATTTCCTTCACACAGAAACGTACAACACAGGTAAATTGTACAGGCTTTRGATCTAGCCTGGTTGGCTAGAGACCTTGAGCTGGTTACTTAGCTGTCTGTGCTTTAGCTTTCTTATGTCTAAAATGTGGATTACAATATTCTATGTCTTAAGATTACCAAGAATATTAATATGTTCGGTGTTTTGGATAGAATCAGCAAAGTAATAAGCAATCTCTAAGTACTCATTGTTATTTTATTATATTTTTTAGGCATTTAAAGAAAACATCCTTGATTAGTAGTTAACAGTGTAGATTCCATTTAGCATCTGAATGCTGGGTGCACCTACCTGCTCTAACCGATCTAAATCATCTTCATCATATAGGCGCATATCCAAACCAGGTTTAAACCCCTTCTTAGTGGCACTTCCTGATACCTGTCCCAATTCCATTGGACAAACATATTCTTCTCCATCTTCCTGTTTCTTTTTTCTCAGATTCCCAAAATTGCTGAAGGTAAGTTTCTTTGGCTTTAAAAGCAAACAAAATGACCAAGGAATTTGATAAAGTTCATATGGCAAAGAACGAATAACGTATTATTTAATTATTCACCCCTTTTCATGGAGAAAAGCAACTGGATGATTGAATTTGCGTAGCAAATACATCCTAGGCATATGAGTAATACATCAATATCATAAATAATCTTTGTTATGAAGCCTAAGATTAATCTTATTCATACCATGAGCTGGACAATCACTGTGATAAAATTGGTCAAAAMCCTTTATGTTTTTAGGCAGGATTAGTGCAATGATGGAATTTCTCAGGGATAAAACCAATTTTGTGAAGATTTTCAATCTAAGAGCACCAAACAAACAAACGAACAAACAAAGATCCTTACTATAATTTCTTTTGGGTAAAGCTTTCATTATTTTATATGCCTGTTCTGCTGCCRTATCAGGATAGTGACTGGTAAAATAATTCCCACTCTTTGGCAATACATTGATGATAGAAGCCAACCAACATTATGCTCTTTATCATTGTTAATGCTAATAAAAAAAAATAATTTACACAGAAACCTTTAAGAATGCATTATCTAAATTACTCTTAAAGATATAAACATAGACACACACATGTATATACATACACACGTGTGTGTCTGTTTAYACAYACACACACACACACACACACACACACACACACACATATACCTTTAAGATATATATCTCATCAACCCACAGAAGTTAGTAAACCCCAGAAGATAGAGTAACTGGGTAACAGCTGAAACTGAGTCTTTGCTTCAGGTGAGCTTGAGCTAACCTTCACTTTGGCAGTAGCTGTTAAAAGTACATAATCTGGTAACTCCATGGCATCTCGCTTCTGATGTTGGGCCTCAGCACCGATTAGGAGATTAAAATGAGTGGCCAAATGTCTTCGCAACAGTGTCTTATTTGGTGGAATATTTAATAACTGTGCCATTGTTTCTACATTAAAACGAGGTTCTAGAACCTGTAGATTAATTAAGAAAAATTAAAAAAAATTTTAAGAAAAATTAAGATTATTAAAAAGTACGATAGTTATTACATTTTGTATTGTACTTTACAATTTGCAGAGCTCTTTCATTTGGGTTATCTCCAATGACCCTTTCAACAGTACAGAGAGGTAGACAGGCTATGGACTTTAATTTTTAATTTATRTATTTTTTCTTTGTTTTGCCTGAGTTAGGAAATGGTGGGGCTGGTCCTATAATCCAGGCTTCAGGCCTTATTAACCACACCAGCACTTGTACCTCTCTGGAGTGCTGACTCTGAAAGCTAACTCCTTATGCAACATGTATGTGCAAAGATATATTCTATTTTTTTTTGCAAGTGTTTTAAATCATGATCATATGAAAGATAGGTATTCAACATGAAAGAGAACAGTACAAGAAGAATGAATTTCAATCGGATCTAGATTTTTATAATATAAATAAAAACACCCTGAGAGTAAAACTCACTAGAAATAGTACAGGAGTGTTGGGAAAGATGACTTTAGGATTAGAACAAGTAAACTGATAAAGGTTATTCTTTATCCAAAATACTTAGGACCAGAAGTGTTTTGGACTTGCACATCTGCACTTTGCAACCCATACCATGAGGTCAGGTGTAAGTTTTCCATTTGTGGTATGGAAATTCAAAAAGTTTCCAGATTTGGGAGCAATTCAGATTTCAGATTGGGGATGCCTGACCTGTAACACCATACTMCTTAGATTAAAAGGAAACAAAATGAGAAGTCAATTGAATAGTAACAGGGCTTTACCATGAGCCCACCATGGACACCACTGCCTCTGAGATTGGGAGCATATTCTGCCAGATCCACAGAGCGCAGCCACTCCATCACTCGATGATTGGTCCATTGCTGAACCTCGGATGGGGTGATGCTATTCTGTAAGAACAAAAAAATTACCATGAGCTTTAGATGTTGGGACAACATGATCCTCAATAGTAAACCCACAAAACTCCAAAAAGTCTGCCCCATTGAGTACCATCACTTAACATCCCATGAAAGGTTTAAAATAAAAGATAAAAGGTATTTGATAATTTGAATTCTCTTTTAAAGGATTTATATGACAAAGTTTCAAGTTTTCTTACACACTAATAAGAAAAGGAAAAGGAAGTCTTCATAGTGATATTTAACTCTGTGGATTAAGAAGGCAGGAAAAATACAACCATTAAAAGGAGAAAGCATAAATGATGAGTAAATCTTGGCTTTGGTTATACAGTGGACCATCATGTTGGGGGCGGGCGGGGGGGAGCGGGAAGGTGGGTTACAGGAAAAGAAAGCCCAAGAAGTAAGTGAGGCTGGATTAAAAGCTCTCAGGAGACCAGGTCTTCAGGCACATGCATGTAAAGTGCCTACTTGAGCCTCCCTTGATGTRCTACCTCATCAGATGGTCGTCTTCGTAGGCAGTTTGGTTCGAAGTTATTGATCCTCAGGACCTGAATGGCTCTTTTGATACTGAGGTGGTGCAGCACACTCACAACCTTCAAAGACAGTAAGTCATCCTGCAAAAAAAGAACAAAGGGAGTCTCACTGTGGCTTCATAACAGGAAGACTTTCCTATGGAAATCTCAGAAAACTGAAGAAGTAGAACCATCAGTTAAAAAAAAAAATATGCCCCATGAGCTTGTCAGTGCTTTCTAAGCTTTTATTTGGTAACAGAACCCCTTTTTCTGTTCTGAATAAAATTCTCTCCCAGAGCCCAGATTAATGTTTCCAAGGAAGATGACTGCCAACTGCTTCTCTCTCAGATGCTCTGATAGGATAACAGAATCTCAGGCCTCTGAAAAACAGAGTTTGAAAAGCACTAGCTGAGCATTCCTCAAGTGATTAAAATAACCAAGATCCTACATGCAGGAGGGAATAAGTACAACGAAATGAATCCAGATCAGTTCTCCCAAAAGGTRCGTCCTGAATGCACTTCTATCGTGGATTAGGTGCTAACCAATGGGCACATGTAACTATTATGTCATTTCACAGTAGTTGGTATCTTGGTAGCTGCAGAATGGCATTTATAACGAACTTGAGTTAAAGCCATGAAGTGCTTTAGTAAACTTTTAAATAATTTGGAGTATTGTTACAAAAGAAAATGGAGAAAAGACATTCCAAGGGAAAGTACACTAATCATGTACAAAATAATGTCAAATTTTTATTTTTGAATGATTTACTATTTGCATTTTTATATCATAAATGAATAGTTTAGATTTGATTCCAAATATGTTCTATTTTTCTAAGGAAACTACAGAAAACATATTATTTAAATTATATTAACAGTCTGCMTGAAGTAAAAAATATTGTGCTAGTATGATACACAGTTAAGTTACTTACTTGACTTTTTAGTTAAGTGTGGACAATGATGACATAATGTGCTTTCTGTTATGAGTTTTATATTAGGATTAGTTTTCCTACAGGCATGAAACACATGTAAAATGAGTTTTTATTTCAGTTAAATCTTGCCTATCAACTCTGAGCCAATTTCTAATTATGATTTTATCATCAGAAGTGTTTCATCTCCCTGACCAATTGAGACTGTCTCAACATGAAGTAAAAAGTCATCCAGGAAAATGTGAAAGTAATTCATCAGCTGTATCTTCCTTTCACTCAAAAATTTTCATTCTCACACGAGAGAGAGAGAGAGAGAGAGAGAGAGAGAGAGAGAGAGAGAGAGAGAGCGCGCTCGCGCGCAGAAGGGCAAAGGAAGGAAGGAGGGAGGGAGGGAGAGAGAGAGAATAGCGCTGGGTCACAGTATAAAAGATAATTTGTTTTTTGATTTGGAACTGAGGATTGGACCCAGGGCCTTGAACATGTTCTCTACATTTCCARCTCTATCTGTTATAATTTGCACATACTGCAAATAAAGGAATTTCTTTGTTTCCTCCTTAGTTTCCACAACTTTATCTGCAGGTAAGGTTGAGACTTAAGAAGTACAATAAAAGGCATCTGCCAACTGCCCTCTCTTTTTTCTTTCAGCTAAGAGCTAATATGYTCAAGGTTTGGTTTTCTGAACTAAAAAGCACATGATAGTTTTAGGGAAACTCAGAAGAATGCACTTGCTACACTATTCTCTGGCCTTAAAAGAGTCTTCTAGTTCTATATTACTATGCTTTCATTAGACATTATGACCAATTTTGCAAATACTATGTCACTTGATGCAAAGGTTTTAGTAAAAGTGAAAAAGAGAAAAGAAATGAAGAAATTATAAGCATCAACATATATCACCTATCAACTCTTTCAAGGAAAACATTTTACCAGTCTGCAGCCACTGGGAACTTTTTCAAACACACCAAAACAAATAATTTCTGAAGATAGTGATTTGGGGTACCAGTCTACCTCCAAACACACCCAAAAAGTAAACAAGGAAAACATCTACTTTGGGCACACCTTACTGATAAGACRTTTCTTTTTTTCTTTTTTAATATTTATTTTTTAGTTGTAGCTGGACACAATACCTTTATTTTATTCATTTATTTTTATGTGATGCTGAGGATCAAACTCAGGTTTCACACATGTGATGGGAGCATTCTACCACTGAGCCACAACCCCAGCCCAAGACATTTCTTATAAGAGGAAAAAAGAAGAAAAAAAAATGAATCTACTATAGAATACTTCTAAGAATAAAAATATTAGACAGCAATTTAAATCCTTAAGGCTACTAACTGAGTAAAAATCATTTCCTGAATTTTTTTTCTGGATTAATTTCTTAAAGACAGGATCTTATGATAAATTAGAAAATGCATTTAACATATATTAATTTAAAATTGAGGTACAGAATGGCCCAAACATTTCACTGTTGGCTATTTTAATCTAATTAAAATATATCAGATTWWAAAAAATCTAATGTACAATGTTTCCRATGTAAATAAAATRTTAGTTACTTTTGAAAATATTTATATTTTGAAGGGTCTTAAAAGGAAAGACCAGGGGCTGGGGTTATAGCTTAGTGGTAGAGCCTTTGCCTAGCACCTGTGAGGCACTGGGTGTAATCCTCAGCACTTCATAGAAATAAATAAAATAAAGGTATTGTGTCCACCTACAACAATAATAAATACATAAATAAATAAGAAAGACCATTTCCTTTCAAATCAAAATAGACTTTGTGATTCTTTTTAATTTGGGATTTTAAAAAACTTTATTTTGGAGTAATTTTAGATACACAGAAGAGTTGCTAGATACTATTGGGTTCTGTATGCTTCTTACCCAGTTTCCCCTAATATTAACATCTTAATATCATAAAAACTRAGGAATTAACATAGACAATAAATAATTAAACTACAGACTTATTCAGATATTTATTTCATAATTCTCACCAGTTTTTCCACTAAGGATCTTTTTCTGTTTCAGGATCCAATCAAAGATACCATATTWAAAGCAGATGTTTTGTGGCCTAGGACTTATGGGATTGGATTTTTCAAGGTAATTTACATATTTCTGGTCACAAAAGTTATGCACATCCTTTTTGTGACTTTAAGTCTTAATCTGCTCAATTCCCAGGGGAAGATACTTACACCTAGACAGACAGGTAAATAGTCACTGAATTTGTTCCAGGTAGAACAGCAAACTATTAAGAAACAGCTCTGGAATCAGATTGTGTTTAAATGCTTTATGGCTTTCTACCATTTTCTAACTGTGGAAACTTGGTTAAGTTAATCCAAATTCTTGATTCCTGTTTCCTCATCCAAATCATGGGGATATTATTAGTATTAACCAAAGGGTTATTGAAAATCAAATACTAACATGAGTRAAATGCTTAGAAGAGTACCTGTAACACAACAAATRTACAACATGTTACACACATTAGTATTATCACATGTAGGCTCACATGATACTGCCATTAAGAAAAGGGTTAAAGTTCAATGGTAAGAGAAGAAAACAAATGCCATGACTCAAACTCCACATTTCTTAGACATTAAAAGACTCTTACCCAAGTTAGCTAGTCACTCTTTCCTCTTATGTAAAAAATATGATATCTATAGAATACCATCTGAAAATGGTATTCAAATAAAAGTACCTTCACTACAACTTTAATCATACTATCTAGAACAATATTGTCCTGGAATTTATCTTCCCCACTGTTTTATTGTTTATTTTATTTTAATCTTTATTTTTTTGTGGTACTGGAGATTGAACCCAGAGGTGCTATAAAATTGGCTATATTCCCATTCCTTTCTTAAAAAATTGAAAGAGGGACACTAATTTGCAAGACTATCCTTGAACTTGGGAATCCTMCTACCTCAGCCTACCAAGTCACTAGGATTATATCTGAGTACCATCACAACAGGTTCTCTCATTGTTTTTAAAGTAGGAAAGAGTTTTTCTATTCATTGGCTGTAAGGCTAGAAATATACAGTAAAAGAAGGAATCAGAGTGAAAGTCTAGCCTTCAGCTCTTCTCCTTTACCCTGATAACTCCTGCCCTCACAGAACTGGGCTGAAGTCAGAAGTGTTTCAGGAAATAGATGTCCAAGAGAAGGGAGGGGAGAAGGCAAGTCCCTATGTGGATGTCAGGCCAAAAAGGAAGCCTCTGCTGAATAGTCACTGCATATAGGAATACATAACTTAGAAACTTCCAGGGCTTCAGAACTCCACATTCAATTTAAAAATTTCTTTATGAGATTTAATTYATAAACCATAAAACTCATCCAAAGTAGATACTTCAATGTTCATCTTGTTGAAMATATATATATTATATATTTATTTTCTGGATAGCTTAGTTTAAATTAAGTTTTGCTTAGCTTAAATTGAGGTTTCAGATAATCCCAGAGCAGTTGCAATTGCCAAATCCTACAATTTCTAGTCACAGGAAATATTTTCCCCTCACTCAAGTTAAAGTGACATCTTCATACTCTGGTGGAACCATTAGGAAAACATTATATTTTGATTACTCTATTTGTATGTTTTTCAAAGGAAAAAAGTCTTAACTCCTCCAAACCCTAGCAAAAAATCACTTACAACTGTCATGTAATGTAGCATTCGACCATCCACCCGTCCTTCATCAAACTGGGTCTTATACTGGGGGAGGCCAATATCATCCAACCATCCTAAAGAACAGAAACCAGCATCATTACAGTGTCACAAAACACTTGTTTTTGTGATTAAAAAGAAAAGGCAGCGATATTTATTTACTTATTATTTTATTTAAAATAAAAACCTCTTACTAGTGACCCAGTTGAAATCCAGCTTCCCATGATTGGTTTCTTCCTCGGATCCTAGAGCTTGCAGTGCCAGCTGGAGTTTCTTTCGATGAAGTGAATGCTTGATTCCAAGTTCCTAAAACAATAAAAAATAACTAAACTTATATTTCTAACTATGTGGGCTTATGACTCTGAAAAATGATGCAAATTCTTCCAAAATGAAGCTAACAGTAAGRATTCAATCTACATTAAATAACATACTAACTCAGGCTAGTAATGTTGCTGGATAAGAGGCTATTAGAGAGCTAAGATGACCCCAATTAATTTAGTGATATATTAGACATTCCCCAGTGACTTATTTTTTTGTAAGATAGCAACTGTGGCATGCATAATAGGAACTTCACTCTTATTTTGTGTAAAATTTTAAATAAATGGGACATAGAACATTTTTTCTTTTTATAAAGTTAAGATGAATTGCATATATTATGTTGAAAAGATAAGTCAATGTGATAAAGCCACAAAATGATTTTAAGTCATATGAGCTTAAGGTTTATTAGTATAGCTATATAATTATTTTTCCTTAGAATTCCCAGTGGCTTTTTTGTTCCACAAAGAATCATTAAGACCAGGCCCTTCCTTTTAAGTCCATGAAATGAAATAAGTATAAAGTGGCTGAAAACTCAAACCTTTTCAAGATTACTAACACTGGCTCCACCCATGCCCCTTCCTGGAGTATAAAGTTACCGTATAATTATATTCTCTTTCTCTTAGTATTTTATAAATAAAATAGAGAAGCAGTCACCTTCTCTAGATCTTGCTGAGAAGCCTGCAAAAGTGTTTGACCAGATGCAATCCAGTGCTTGCCAGAATTCAGGTAGGATCCCAAACCTTGTTCTGCAAGCCAATTACAAACTTGCTCCTTGGTCCATTTGGCAAATGGTGTATCCAAGTCACTGCAGGAAAATGAACAAGTGCATGAGAAACAATTCAAAGACAATTGTGTGGCTTATCATCAATTTTTAACAACTCTACATTCAATAGATACGGAAAGTCCCTGGCGATACAGTTGACCATGAAAAATTTAATTTTTAATGTGTATTTGGAGAAGGAAGTAGTACCAGAGTTGAAAGTTATCTTCTAAGACCACTGTCTTCATTTTAAATAAAACCGCAAAAGATTCAATGTGATTTAGCAAGAATATGTTCTATAGAAAAACACTAAGTTGAACCAACACAAGTCACTATAACCAGTTTCAACCAATGTTGTTTTAAGACTGTATTCCCAAACAGAAAACACTAGGACAAAAAACTCAAGTCTAACTGGAATTAACTTTGACAGAATTATGGTTTTTTTTCCTGGTGATAATTTATGGGAAGAGGACAATATGCTGCCATTGAGTATAAAATAGAGTAATCAAAATAAAATTTCTGTTTGCTTTTACTTAGACACAGTGTTCCTATTTGGAGGGAAAAAAAGTAAAGATGAACATGACTTTGAATTTTTTTTTTTAATGCATAAGGAAGTCCTTTATTGTATTCAAAGAGAACATATGGCAAACGAGATCACTAGGTATTTGGAAAAGGCAAAGGGAGTTTCCTCCTTGCTGAAATCTGTGTCCAATGACCTGCCTGTTGGGAGGGACTGTTTTAAATTTAGTATCAACACCTTGTACTGTATGTTTGCCAACCCCACCTCTCCATGCTTAGAAGGTCAGAAGAATAGTTCTCCACTTTGATAAGGGTGATAAAAGTTCTTAAGAGTCTTAATACATAAAACATTACATAGCCTTGATAAGTCTAAGAAATGTGATAGAATTTGTCTTTAAGTATTTTCAAAGACTCCACTAGTCTCAAATATTTATTGAATGGTTATTATTTGCCAGATACTTAAAACATATTAACATTTAATCTTCACAATCACCTTTTGTGATGGGTCTTAACTATTATGACAAGAAAATTGAGAGGTACACAGCATGGATGTCATTGTTTATGATCATCTGGCTAGTAGAAAGCGTAAGGACAGAAACCAAACCCAAGTTTCAACTTACTCTTCTGTGTGTGTGTGTGTGGGTGGGGGGACACTGTGTGGCTGAAGGCCAAACTTAGGGTCTCACACAAGCTAGGCAAGCACTCTCTACCACTGAGTTGTATACCAGCCCCTAGAGTCTACTTTTAAGCACTATGCTATCCATGGCTATTCTTCATAATACTTCCAAAGCAATAATTATATAAAATTTATGTCCAAGAACCACTGTAATACAGATGTGGCTGAYACTTTAGCTCTGGCTCCTTACCTAACTCACCCAGTCCTCATTTTCTCTCCAGCTCTCAATCATGGACAAACCACACCACTGTAAAGATGACGAACCCTATGTGATGATAAGCTATACTTTTAATAATTTAACCTAGTGACAGTATACTACAGGTGTCCATGAGCCTTGATGCTTAGGTAGAGATGCTAACGTTCATTCATTGGCTATACTTACCTGTTAGACTGTCCCAAATCTCGAGACCAACCCAATCGGGGGCCTGCAGTTGCCCTTGTCCCTCCTCTTTTGAATTCAGGCTCAGCCATGTCATCTGGGTTGAATGTAGTCGATTGACTTCTCCTAAGTCTGAAGAAGACACAACCCCACATTGCCATATATCAGAACTGAAGAAGCTTTAGACTTTAAAGTCAATCAACTTATTTTCTTGGCAGTACTGGATATTGAACCCAAGAGCACCCTACTGATTAGCTATACCCCCAGTTCCTTTTATTTTATTCTTAAAAATTCTGATACTGGGTGTTTTTTTTTTTTTTTTTTTCCGAACTGGGGATTGAACTCAGGGGCACTCATCCACCGAGCCACATCCCCAACCCTACTGTATTTTATTTAGAGACAGGGCCTCACTGAGTTGCTTAGTGTCCCGCTTTTGCTGAGGCTGGCTATGAACTAGTGATCCTCCTACCTCGGCTTCCGGGCTGCTGGGATTATAAGCACCACTGGGATAATGGGCGCGTGTCACCACACTTGGCCTGAGACTGGGTTTCATTAAGTTGCCCAGAYTGGTCTCAAACTTATGGTCCTCCTGCCTCAGTCTCCTGAGTAGCCRGGATTACAAGGATGCACTGCAGAGCCCAACTAATCAGAACATTTTTAACTGGTACGTAGATTTGAGCTATTCTTCCTTGTAGTGTAGTAATGTATATAACTATACTTAAACTTCAACCAAAGCCCAGTGATCTAATAAATCCCAAATCACGATCTTCCTTCCATAAGAGGAACATAAAAGCTTTAAAAATTTCATACCCATTTTCAGCCAGATTTCCAATTATCCCTACACTTGAGCAAGTAAGACAAATTCCACTTTACWCATTCACTCTTTCACTTACTTTCCAAAGAGTCTCATGATACCTCTGGATTTCTTTTTGGAATCTGGAGATGGTGGAGATATCTGGAAAGGACTGTTTCCCTGTGAATCTCTGGCCTGAGAAGATGTCCCAGCCAGATCTAGGTGCTCCACTGTCTCCTTTTCTGTTTCAGCTATTCCAAGAACAGAAGAGTTGGTGAATTTTAAAATGCAGAATGAACATGATTAGAAATCAATCTTGGTTTTAGCAACTGTTAGGGATTCTTCTTCTGTTGGTCTATAAATCAGTRACTAATCGAGAGCTTGATAAATATGAAAAATGTAACACAAATGTATATTCTACACTACAGTTTACTATCTTGAGTATAAAGATGATTAACTTAAAATCACAATTGCATTGAGATKAAAAGTGTGAGGTGGGACTTCTAAACTTTCTTCAACTCATCTGAACTCCAATCTTACAGTTAGTTTCATGGCACTGTTGACTACCTCCCACGCTCTTTAAAAGCACTCTCTCTCTTTGTTGCTGCCCTGACACTCCTAGATCATCATCTGACAGTATCTCCTTTGCTGTAGCATTCCCCTCCTTTTTTTTTTTTTTTCTTTTTGGTACTAGGGATTGCACCCAGGGGTACTCCTCTATCATTGAACTACATCCCAACCCCTTTTTTGAGACACAGTCTCTCTAAATTACTGAAGTTGACCTCTAGTTTGCTATCTTTCTTTCTCAGGTGGGATCATAGGTGTGTGCCACTGCACTCAATGCATTCCTGGTTTCTTTTCCTCTTATTCCATTTTAAGACTGGAAGTTCCCTCTGTAGGATCTTTTTGACAAGCTCATCCACTTGAAACTTGGCACTAAAAAATAGCTTTTACTTTTGTGTGTGTAGTCCTGAGATTAAACCCCAGGGCCTCACACATGCTAAGCTAACACTCTATCACTGAGCCACATTCCCAGCCCATTTTTTATTTTGAGATAGGGTCTCACTAAGTGCTCAGGCTGGCCTCAAACTTGAGATCCTCCTTCCTTGGTCTCCCATGCAGCTAGGATTAGAGGTGTGTGCCTCTATGCCCAGCTTAAGCTTGGCACTAAGTGATGGTTTTATCATTTAAGAGTAGGTGGAATAAAATTTCTGGGCCTGGTCTCTTCTCCCAGTCTCACTATCTGAACATTTGTACATGTTCCCAATTTAATGTGCCAGAGACATTTTGTACTCAAATCCAGCCAACTTCCTTGAGAGTCTCTTATATTTAATATTCTCTTTGTTACTCCATTTTCTTTGTATCCCTATTTTTTCCTTTGGCATTTAATCACCTCAGTTACCAAGTACTACCTATCTCTCCAATACTGGGGAGACAGGGTCTTACTAAATTGTTTAGGCTGGTCTTAAACTTGCAATCCTCCTGTCTAAGCCTCCTGAGTAGCTGGGATTACTGGCATGAGCCATGGCACCCAGCCCAGCAATTTTTAAAGAAATTTATCCCAATTTATTATGATTTGGGCAGTTAGAAAATTTTAAACTGGATATACATAAATTTTCCTTTTGATATAAAGTTAGTACCTATTTATTTTGCTTTAAAATAATAACATCCATATTTGCCACTGCCAGATCTATTTTAGTTCTGTTAACTGTCTCTTAGTGGATACAAGGGCTACTATTTCTTCGATGTGAGATTTACTTAGTAAAGGAAAGTAAAAGTTGTACAAAAATCACAGGAACAATGTTTCAGCAAGATATACAAGTTGCAGAAGTTGACTTTTCTATGAAGCAGGGCTGTGATTACAGGTTACACAATGAGCAGCAATTGCCTCTAAGCAACAATAATCCAATTCTAAGAAAGATGAAGCAGATTAYTTGAAAAGAGTTGTCTAAATAGATCATCTTGTTTTATGTATCCAGTGCTCAYTCTAGATGTTTAAGACTACAAGAGAGCATGTCACTTTTGCTGGTCCACATGAATACACATGTGGATGTCTATATGAGGTGACAATACCCACTGGGAAAACCAAGGGAGCCTACCCATTCACAMCCTAAAGACAAGATGGGTACTGGTGTCCCTGGAAATGTTGCCTAGCTCACCCTCATTTTAAGAGAATCATATTTTCCTTTTGAAGACTCTTTTTTTTTCTCTCCCTACTGAACACTGCCATACAAAAAAAGCTTCCTCTCCTAAAATCACTTTGAGGTGACTCCTCAGGTAACATGTAAAGTTTCTTCTGTCACTGCTAAATGCTGTCTCCATCTTCAAAGCAGTAAGATGTCAGAGAAATGCTCCCTAAGGTAACTGAGTCCATACTTATCATCTCAGTGTCTTCTATAAAGCTTCCGACCTGACTAAAAACATTTCTTTTTGAAGGCTGGGGGAAAGGTACACATGGAAAAGGGATTGGAAGTGAATGAKTGATGATAATGTGTACCAGGGGTTAGAGAGCTGGGATGGACAATGCCAGGACACTCCTACCCTTGACTCTGCCATCTGCAGGGCATTTTGGGGGCCTCTCAGGTCTCCCCACAAGGTGTCAACAGCCTTGGGTAAAACTGTGGTCAAGCTTGGAAGCAAAGGTTCTATGGAAAACTTTTTGTAGAAAATGGAAAAACCAATCTGGAATGGAGAACTACGTTTTCTGATTGCTGCCAGCTCCCTCTCTAGAGATTACAGAGGCCAAGAGCAGGGATTAGATAGGTTTGGAGCACAGCGCTGGTGAAGGTTGACATGCAGGGGTACAATACCTAAGGTGGGTGCACTGGCACTTCGTTTACGATCTTCAGAAATCCCAACAATGCACACAATCACACGCAGCCCAAAGGAGAGAACACAGGGGTGACAAAATGAAACAGATGAGACTCCTCCTAACAAATGTGCACCATGGAGGAAAGGCACACACTGTGCTTCTGAGGCTACACATAGACTCCACCAGGGCTGTCAGCAAGGGGTTAGCTTATCTACTATCAAAACAGATGGGACACTCTCTAATGATGCCACAGACAATCACATTTTTAGGTCTTTCTGCTGTTTATACCACAGGAAACAGCGTATGGTACGAGTTGATACATCCTCACACTGCTAAATTAAATCCACTGAAAAAAACATCATTTGCTAACTATATCTGCCCCTCCCCAAGTCATTCACCATCATGTACAAATAGATGAATAGGGGAAGGAAGAGACTGATCTTTTCCCTATTTTTTCCCTCAAAGATCGGGTTTCATGCATCTTGGCCACACATACCCAAGTTTGGTGCACTTGCTGTCCTTTTGTTACTTTTGATTTTAAAGAAGCCCCGGCCAAAGGAAGATCTTGCTTTTCGAGTGCCAAAGGGGTTGTCATCCATGGAGGCATCTCGTCCTGGAACTTTGGAAGGGAGGCTCCCAAATGTGCTACTTTCTCCTGAAGCTTTATCCTGAGAGAAGGGTGACAACAGTGAAACAGAGCACTGATGTGCACGATCCTTGCAACACACCAGGCCCCGCACTAAGCCTTAGACCATGATATATGCATGTTTTGCTTAAAAGAATAACTAAGAGCTGGGCATATAGCTCAGTGGCAGAGCACTTACTTGCCTAGCAAGAYTGAGGTACTTGGCTTCAATCTCCAGAACCGGGGGTGTGTGTGGGGGGGAACTGAAGTAACACATTGATTACCAATATMAAATAAAATAGAAGTATTTTTTTAAGAAATCCACAATGAAAGCTACTTAAAAAAACAGCAATAGCAACAAGATAAACACCCTTCATCACTAATCCATAATCAATGTATTTACAGTTTTAAAAATATTTAAGATAAGAGAAATTATCAAATTTTACTTTTTTATGTTTTAAAGAATTTAACGTTTATTTTTTATTTATTTGTTTTTTCTGTGGTGCTGAGAATCAAACCCAGTGCCTCACCCATGCTAGGAAAGCACTCTACCACTGAGCTACAACCCCAGCCCAAATTTTATTTTATTTGCCTCATTCTTTAAGACATGGAATGAAGGTATTATAACCAGAATAGCATATTTCTAAATTTTCTAGCAATCATGATATAGAGCTAGAATACAGTTCACATGTTGCAGGCGGTAGGTGGGATGTTCTGGGGATTAAATCCAGGGGTGCTTTACCACTGAGAATATCCCCAGTCCTTTTTATTTTTATTGAGACAGGGTCTTGGTTAAGGTGCTGAGGCTAGCCTTCAACTCCTGCCTTAGCCTCCCAAGTCAMTGGAATAACAAGGAGTGTGCCACCAAGTCCAGAACAGTTCACATTTTTATATTATAACTCTATCAACAGAAGCCTAATGTAATTCTGCAAAGCAGGCATTAGCCCACATTTTTATATTAGCAAAATAAGGAGATTCTACTCTGTTATTTTCAACATTCGAAGAGTAAYACAATGCAGATATAAACAGCAACTGCTTATTTTGGGCTTTTTGGTTATCTGAATTGGCAATTATAGTATCATAGTATTATATGGTTTTAGTATTATCCCAAAATGCTTCTAGTTTCATGTTTTTGTCCCTAATATCTTTTGCATTCTGTTTCCTTCTTTTGCACAGGTAGAGAAAAGGGTAAGGGGAAACACAAGCATCTAAGACAGAGATTTTATTCTATGTATCTAGTGCACATAGTAACTGCAAGTTTACAGATGATGCAATGTAGTAGCAGGGTTGTTATCTGTGTCTCAATACTGATGTCAAAAATTCAACCATTTATTGAGCTGACAAGACAAAAAGGACTTAAATGACAGCCCTCTTTACTGACTGCCTTGCTAGTTCTATCTACGTTTAACACAGGTACTAAGAGTGGACAGTCAGGAGACCACCTCTGGAAGTAGCCTGTCAACCCAACTGGAACCTTTACAAGTTCATGATTGAAAAGGAGGGCAAAGAAGTACATGTAGATGATATCCTAAAAATACCAAAATGTATGCCTCCAATGGAAATGGTGTTATAAAATAAACTACTCRTAATCTAAGGGCTTAAACACACACACACACACACACACACACACACACACAACACAGACACATATTACTGGGGACTGAATGCAGGTGTGCTCTACCACTGAGCTATACCCCCAGTCCTTTTTTTTGTTTTGTTTTGTGATAAGGTCTCATTAGGTTACCCAGGCTGAAGTTGAACTTGTGATCCTCCTGCCTCAGCCTCCTGAGTCAATGGGATTATAGGTGTGTGCCACCATGCCCTATCAAGAAGGGCTTTTAATAAGGCCTAAGGAAACCCATTTGTGATCATTAAGAACATCAAGTAATATGACTGTGAATTTGTAATTTTGATTTTGCTTAATAACTGTTAGGTGATATTCAGATAACAWAAAATTAACTATTTTAAAATGAATAATTCAGTGGCATTTAGTACATCTACAATGTTGTGTAATCACCACCTCTAATTAGTCCCAAAACAGTTCCATCATTCTGAAGCAAAACCCCTCACCATTATGCAGTTTCACCCCCATTTTTTACTCCTTTCACCACTATACAAATCTATAACTAGTTTTTATGGACTTATCTATTCTGGATATTGCATAGAGAAGAAATCATAGAAGATGCCCTTTTGTGTCTTCCATCTAGCATGATGTTTTGGTGGCTCTGAGAATTTTGGTCTCCTGGAGACATTTAAGCAATTTACATGTAATAGAAGTTGAAAACATTTTAATATTTTAATTTGGATATAAAATTACCTCTGAAGGCTTCTGAATAGACTCCTTTTCCTGTTCAAAACAATGACAACATTTAAGGTTGTTATAGGAATCCTTAATATATTCAGAATTTGTCATATACTGTTCCATAATCGGAAGTTTACATCACCTCTAAGCTACAAAATCTTAGTTTCATTTATTTCCTAAAATGTTCTATTACAATCTCCATTCTTGGTTTTATTAACTACTTTGAATTCTTATATTCATAATTAATATTTATTGTTAATTATGCCATGTTGCTAATAATTATCCATTAAAGAAGCTACAAGTCTTCTTATAAGTTTTATTTGCAAAATGAAAAAAAATGAAGATCCCTAAATATATTCTTCTAGAGGTAACAGGAAGAAAACACAAAACCTACCCCATTTTTTGTCTCCTTCTTCAGACTGCCTAGGCTGCTGGACTTTTGCAGACTTGAAGTTCTAAAAAAAATAAAATAAAATAAATAATAATAATAATAATAATAATTAGGATTAATAATATGTGACTCTGATTCCTGTTTCTAAGTAGATCATCTTAGAAAGAAACGAAAATTGTGTGTGTGTGGGTTGAATCTTGAAAATAAAAGAAAATATGGAATCAGTCACTTACATACTTAACTAAATTATAACATTTAGTTCTTTTAAAAGCAAGGGTGGTTAATTATCCTGCCAATCTCTCTAAATGTCTCTTACATGTTAGAATAGCTGGAAAAGCACTTAGGTCTCTCCTTACAATGTCAACATTTTAAAACAAGCCAGTGTTTTCCATGGACTAATGGTGCATCCTTTGCATGTATACATTTTTATCAGGAAATTTAAATACCCATATACGATTTAYATCTAATTCTTTTAATAAAATCAAGAATGACAATTTTATTTTCCAATTCACAAAGGAATTGTTTTTTTTGAGCCTGGCAAAGCAATTTGTTTTATAGTTTGACCCAAGCAAATGAAAGAATCCCTATTGCTGACCATAATAATTCATTAGCTATCCTAGGGAAGGCAAAATGATACTATAAAWATTCAAAAGAGATTTTCTCTTTCACATTATTAGCATTCAGTAAACAGATATGGAAATGGACTTTCTCACAAACTAAAAGTAGGAATATATGACCAATTTACAAAGAAAAAAAGGGGCTGGGGATGTAGCTTAGTGGTAGAGTTCTTGTTTAGCTTGCATGAAGCTTTAGATTTGAGCACCAGTATCACCAAAAAGAGAAAAGAAGAGAGAAAGGGAGGGACAGAGAGAAGGAAAAAAAAAAAAAAAAAAAGGAATGCATTTGCTCTAAAAATTATAAATATGCAAACTTTAAAAGCATTTCTTCTGTATTTATGTGTATGTAAATTGCTAGAAGTGTTGACTACCAACTAAAGTAGAAGATAATGGCAAAACAGAAATGATCTCATCTTTGAGTACTGCTCTATAAAAAGGATTTCCTAATTTAATACAGACTGCAACTTGGATAAATATTCATATTAGGTCATATAAGTGAAAATACAAAAAAATTTACAAATGAAACAAAACCCAGAAAACAACAACAACCTAAAYTATTTCAACTTTTCCAGTCATCACAACACTCTGTGGGATGTTTTGTTGCTGGAATCAAAAGTATAAGTCAGTACAAAAAAGAATTAAAAGCACTGAAGTTCAAATAAATACTAATAAAGGATAAAGATCTGCAAAAACAGGGCACAAGCTGATGGTAAAAGAGTGTCTCTGTAAACTTATAACCCTGCACTCCCACCCAGTCATTACAGCTGCATTAATTTATTCATTAGTTTAACAGACACATACATTGTCACTAATACACTAACTGTTAATATTGATTATTGTTAGTGTAAGAGACCCTTTTCTTTCTCAAGACTCAATCACACTTTTGACATTCAATAATATGTAACTTACAAAAGACCATCACACAACTGGGTTTCAATAGCAGCACCAAGGATTGCTTTTCCTTCACTAAAATGAAAAAAAAAAAAAAGGTTTTATTAATGTCATGAATAAAAAAAATCTTACCAATGATCCCTGGCTTACAATGGTGTTAAGTCCTGAAAAACCCATAATAAGTGGAAAAATCATGCTGATTTTTCATCAGTGTTGAACAATCCTACCCAACAATGCAGCTTAGCCTACCTACTTAAACTTAGGACATTTATACTAGCCTACAGATGGGCAAAATCATCTAACACAAATCCTATTTTACAAGGAAGTGTTGAATAATTTGCCTAATTTACTGAATGCCATATTGAAAGTGAAAACCAGCAACATTGTAGAAGCTGAAAAATCACTGAGTTGAACCAATATAGGTTAGTACTGTCTATATATTCTATGTGAACAGAACTGTCAAGAATGAAAGAATAGTAAAAGAAGATATTTCTATTTTTTAATATTCTGCTTTATTTTAGTTGGCCTAAATGTACRATTAGGTAGTTAGAAGTATGACAGCAAAATTCTATTTGCCTACAGAGATAGATTCCCTCTTCTGTTTCCTTCATAGGCATCTTCTAAACAGCCTTGTGGCACATCACTATTATTACTCTGCTTATAACACATTGTTGGTGACCCATGATCTAGGAAGTAAAATCCAAGTTCCTTAAAACCCCTCTCTAACTTGACCATCTCACATCTTCAGTCTCAGGTCCTATAACTTCCTGCTTTATGCCTTTTACTTCAATAATACATAACTGATTATGGGTTCCTGGYACATCTCTTCCTGTTTCCTGTTTTATGAGTAAAAACTGTTTATAAATACATGTGAAGCCTTTTTTTTTTTAATCTACTTTTGCGAACACTTATATTGCAATGGTAGGCTACAAATGACATACTTCTCTTCAAATGAGGTCTCTGGTTTAAGAGGCAACTTGGTTTTTTCAGGAGTTTCCATTCCTATAGTTGCTGCCGATAATGAAGGGACTGAAACTTGCAAGATGCTGGTGTGGAACTGTAATTACAAAAATACACACACAAAAAATCAATCAAGCAAAGACTTAAGCCAGAGAGAAACAAAACATAAATAAGATGAATAAAAGGTATAGTGACAAAATCTTATACCTCATATACCTCTGTTTAGAACTCTATTCTAATATTTATAAAATTATTTCAGGAAACAAGCATCTATATAAAAGAAGCATTAATCAAAGAAAATATCCTGGAGAGAGGTAATTTTTAAACTTGGTTCTGAGTAAGACATTGAATACTGTGAGTAAGACATATCAAATACCATTAAGCAAGTTTATAGCAAATKTAATGGCTTCAGGCCCTGGCTAAATCCTTGGCTCTGACATACTTGCATATGTGATTTTAACTGCATCAATCTCCTCCTCTGTATAATGAGGATGACAGTGCCCACTTTCCTCAGRGTTCCAATGACTTCACATGAGAGTTGGAGAAAAGTACTTATTGTAGACAAAGCACAACTTTCATTTTAATTTCTGCCATTAATCTAACATGGTACATTGGTCAAATTAATCATTATTCCATGTGTGAACTAGTTGACTAATTTCAATTCACAGAATTGATAAAAAATGTAATTAAAACCAATTAAAATGTACTTGTGGCTATCACTAAAAAAAGATTTTGCTTAATAACAATACAGCAACAAGTAAAATGCATAACACATTTTCTCGAATGCTTCATATATCCTAAAACTGGAGTGTGTAAAAGAATTTTAAAAGAATTTTATTCAGGGTTTCAGTTAGATTGTAGGTCACATCAGAGCTAATAAATCAAACACTTTGTGAAATATTCCAGTAAGAAAATGATCAAAATGTATCCCAATGAACTCCTGCAAGTTAAGCAGTTAGTGACAGCTCCTCAATTCTGAAAGGGAGCCAGCAAGCATCTAAAGACCTTATATAGGATCAGCTCATAAAGCTCATTTGGTTAAGCAAGCAATGAATTCAGCTTTGTGATTTTTATTTCTGTTGTTGAGTAGCGGTCTCATCCTTTGACACTATTTAAGGTTATAAAAGGGGTGAGAGAGCACTTGCCTAGCCTTGGGTTCAATTCTCCCACTGGAAAAAAAAATGAATATTTATGTGTGTGAGTGTATATCAAAGGTTATAAAACAAAGTCATATTATAAAATAGGATATTATTTCACTATCAGTTTTTCAGATTGAGTCTTATCCTGGACAATTTATTTTATTTAGTCATTGTTCCTGTTTCCTGAAGTTCATATGTCTCCTTGGATTCCTAATCATGGGGAAAAAACAATGATACTATCACTCTGACCCACTTTCTTGATTTTGAAACTTTAAGGCTTTAGTTCCAGCCTCAAATCTTCCTTCTGGCTTTTAAGCAATGTGGCTGAACTCCTCAATTCTCATCCAATTATTTTTGCTCCAAACTAAAAACCTATCATTAAACTRGCATTCACGTAGCAAAGACTCTTGTTTAAAGATGGGAGATCATTTGGGTGTGTGGTTAGTGTCCCCTCTCTATAAATGAAGCACACTCATCGTCAAATGTCATTTTCCCTTCAGTATGAATATATAGTTAATAAGGAGGGGATTTCGCTTCTAAACTAGTTTATTTCTTAACTAATTCCTGATCGATGACATTTAAGAAGGAAATTTAGTTGTTTTCTCCTTGAATTCATTTTCATTCAATTCAAATTTCACTTTCTCATTATGTAATTATCAAGAACAGATATAAAAAAGTAAAGTTACCCATGTGTTTTTTCTAACTATAGAAAAATGTGAAAGGAGAAATGACCAAAGAAGTAACTGATAAATATAAAGGAGTTGAGACTGTTTAGTTAAAACTATTTCCCATTCCTAGTCTTAAATTTTATATACTAAAATTAAGACATGGTTTCAGGGTAAAAACAAGCACAAGTACTGTCAAAAAAACCTGGTCTCAAGATGAATCCAGGAACATGGCAGTAAAGCCCTTTGTTGACATCACAGGAAGACTGAATGTCTCACTGAACCTTTTATAAAGTCCAAAGACTGAAAATCAGGGGCTGTCCCCCAGCAACCTTAGAGGGAAACTAAGAGAAAAGCTTCTTATGAAGACGTGRACAATTCCAAGGGTTTAAGTAGTATACCAATGTTCAACATCTCTAGCAATTAGAGAAAAGTGAATTAAAACTACACTGAGATTTCATCTTACTCCAGTCAGAATAGCAATTATCAAGAMTACAACTAACAATAAATGTTGGCAAGGATGTGGGGAAAAGATTTACTCATTGCTGGTGGRACAAAAAATTGGTGCAACCACTCTGGAAAGCAGTATGGACATTCCATCATTTGACCCAGTTATCCCAGTCCTTGGTATATACCCAAAGGACTTAAAATTAGCATACTACAGTGACACAGCCACATCAATGTTATAGCAGCTAAATTCACAATAGCTAAGCTACGGAACTAACCTAGGTGCCATTCAACAGATGAATGGGTAAAGAAAATGTGATACACACACACACACACACACACACACACACACACACAATGGAATATTACTCAGTCATAAAAAATGAAATTATGACATATGCCCATAAATAGATGGATCTGGAGACTATCATGCTAAGTGAAATAAACCAATGGCCACATGTTCTTTCTAATATATGGATGCTAACAAACAATAAGGGTAATGGGGGAGGAAGAACAGAAGTTCATTTGATTAGACAAAAGAGAATGAAGGGAAGTGGGGGAGGTCGGAATAGAAAAGATAGTAGAATGAATCAGACATAACTTTCCTATGTTCATATATGAATACACAACCACTGAAATTCCATATAATGTACAACCACAAGAATGGGATCCTAATTAGGATAAGTTATACTCCTTTGTATGTATGTCAAAATATACTCTACTGTCATGTATACCTAAAAAGAACATATAAAAAAATTAAAAAACAAAAAAAAAACCAAGTAGGACACCAAGTCAGACTCAAAAGGACAGAGCAGGTAGAAAATGAAAGGGTGGCTTGGGACCTCTATGGCATTTTTACAGTCACAAAACTGCCTGTAAATACTTATCTGCAAATACTTGGAAAAGGAAAGAAGACTTGGATAGAAGACTGGGCCCTCATATAGGAACTGGTAACACTTGCCTAGATAGATTTTGAAATTGCTGCAGGCTATGTCCACTGTGTGCCTTTAATTTTATCTATTTATCTATCTATCTATCTATCTATCTATCTATCTATCTATCTATCTATCTATCTATTCATCCATCCATCCATCCTAGGGAATTGAACCCTAGGGCACTTTATTACTAAGAAACATTCCTAATACTTTTTATTTTTGAGACAGAATCTCGCTAAGTTGCCCAGGCTGGCCTTGAATGTGAGATCCTCCTGCCTTAGCCTACTGAGTAGCTGATATTACAGGCATATGCCACTGAGCTCAGCCAATTTCCTCTCCTTAAAATGGGAGAGCCTATAGCAGGTTGCAGCACATCTACCCCACCACTGTATGTTGTGTGTAGAGTGGGGGTGCGGAGGGGAGGTAACTTGTTCTTTAAGTTCCCAGCTACTTTAATTGATTGAAATGATTGTCAAGAAGCTGTGCCCAAAACTATACCTGAGGAGTTTCACTTATATCTTGATCTGATCTGGATGACCAGCTCCTAGATGTCTTTGGAGAAAGACTGACTCTATGCATGGGACAGGGACATAAATTATGGCCAGAGAGTAAAAWGATAGACTATATATCCCAAATATGTTTGTATCAACATATCCCACCTCATGTATTCTGACAATGTGGTACTGTGATTTGTCCATCAAGAGACAACATCTAAGTTCCCTCTCTTTGATTCTCAGTCACATAGAAGAGAGTCTATGTGACTTGTGAGATAAGTCATAAAAGGGGATGCAAATTTGCCTGGTCCTCTTGGGATTCTCACCCTTAGGACATAGCCACCACACTGTGGAAGCCAAGGAMGCCAAGCAGTCACATGCAATAGGCCTTAGAGGGAAGATAGGGCCTCAGCTGAGGTCCCAGCCAATAGAAAGCCTCCACCAAAGGACACATGAGTAAGTAGCACTCAAAGAACTCAAGCCCCATGGCTTTTGTGCTACTTCAGCTGTTGCCAAGTGGAGGAGAGATGAGACATGCTTGCTGAGCCCTCCCCAACTTGCACATTGATCAGCAARGTAGGTACTGTCATTCAAGCCTCAAAGTTTTGAACTGGTGTACAACAGACAACAAATTGAGGGACATTCAAGTCTGATGTAATGTAGATGAATTTAAGATGGTTTATTCTCTACAGTGGCTTTTTCCAAGTCTAAACAAGCCTGAGGGAACTTTTATTCAATCATCTTTCAAAGTCACCATCAGAAATGACTAAAATAGTGGGCTGGGGCTGGGGCTGAGTGGTGAGTGCTTGCCTGGCATGTGTGAGGCCCYGAGTTCGATCCTCAGCACCACATAAAAAAAATAATAATAATAAGTAAAATAAAGGTATTGTGTCCATCTTACAACTTTAAAAAAATGATTAAAATAAACCTATTTATATCTCACTTTATCCCCCCTTTATTAATTTCCTATGTATTCTTTAATAAATATTCTAATCTCATATGTAAAATGATATCTACCTCCTCCAGGGGGTTTTTCAAGAAAAAAATTTTTTGAGACAGGCTATATTGCTTAGACGGGCCTCAAACCCCTGGGCTCCAGTGATCCTCTCTTGCCTCAGCATTTCAAGTACCTGGAACCATGGGTGCATGGCACTATGAACGATTTGTTTTTCCTGAATTTTATAAGCAATTTTGACMATGCTCACAGCATTTTTTTAAAGAAAGGAAAGAAGAACGGATTAAAGACAGACTGGGGGAAGAGAAAGACCTGTAGGACACAAAAAATTGCTAGAACCAATTTAGTAATTCAACTGAGAAGAGMATCCATGTTTTCATGTTATCAACAGTGTTTTAATGACAAAGTCTCTTCAACATGAAGAAAATATTGACATTCTGTAAATACCTCTTCTGGAATACTTGTGTTGAATGGGTCACGACTGGGAGATCCCATTACTGGGGAAGATGATGGACTTTTCTCTATGTCACTAAAGCCCTGTGCATCCAACAAAGTAGAGATGGAACTGGAATTGAGCAGATCTTCATATTCACCATCTTTGCCTAGAAAAAGACAAAAGTAAGAAGAAGATAATAGCAGCTCTTCACTTATTTCACTTTTAGAGGAATGAGAGTGACTAGAATTTTTTTCTTTTTTTTCTCTTGAGGGGGTGGGGGTGCTAGGGATTGAACTCAGGGCCTCATGCATAATAAATATGTACCTTTTTACTGAGCTCCACCCACATTCCAAAATATAAAAAATTTTTCTGATTCTCAAAAATCCAAGAGTCAATTGTTCCTGGCATCAATGGAAAAAGAGCTACATGTAGAAACAGCATCTTAAACTGTGAGTACCTAAGGCCAGTGAGTACCCAGTGGCGTTATTAGTAGAGAAAAAAAATCATATTTGTTAGGGTTATTAACTCACAAGACTGCAATAAAACAAAAAGTTAAGTTATTCCAACAAACATGGAAAACTGGGGGGGTGGGCGGTGGTTACACATTTTTAGTTTAGAAAAACCAAGCTGACACAACAAAATAATTTTGAATAGGAACATAGCCCCTATTAAAATGACTCATTTTTCATCACTACTCTGGAAAATACAGAGAGARGAAAATAGAAATAGAAAAAAAAATGAAATTTAATCTTCAAAAAGATCTTTTTATACCATTTCAAAGAAGAAAGAACAGCCTAGCAGAGAAAAGCAACCACATATTCAGCAAAGCAGTGACTTTATTTCTTCATAGTTATAGAAATAAAAAGGATTAATTGATGAACAACATGGAGCCAGATAGTCATTTTTTTAAAAAGTAGAACTAATGTCTCTAAATGACACTAAATGATAAATCATATACTTGCTTGAAGATCTTAATCAGACCATAACTTCTTAAATTGAAATATTATTAGAATTTTATTCTAATGTTACCAGAACTTAAGTGTTATTAAAGAGTTGTGTGAAGATTAAATAAATAAATATAAATGCTAGTGAGACATCCCTGTTTATGTAACTCTTTACTGGAACAGGGCATTCTCTGTAATGTTTTATGAAAACCTATGCACTGTTAAAACTACCTTTGGGGTTAAAAATTAAAACTACTTAAAACTTAAAGCTTAAAACTACCTTTGGAGCAGGGGATGTAGCTTAGAGGTAGAACACTTGTTTAGCATATGTAAGGAGTTTGAATGCCAGCATCACAAAAACCTACAAACATAACACTAGCTTTATTATGTTTTTTTCTGTTGCTAAGAATTGAACCCAGGGCCTTGTGCAAGTTTAGGAAAATACTGTCATTGAGCTAAATCCCCAATCCCAAAACTACCTTTCTAATCTACATGCTTATGTGCATAAGAAAAAAGTACTAGAAAGAAATATGTGAAAATATCAATAGTGATCATGCTGGTACAAATGTTTAGTGTATTTTCCCCCTTTTCTCTATTTTCTAAATGCTTTGGCATACAGACTTTTTATGGGAATTAATACTCTTCCTTTTTATTGGTGCGTTATAATTGTACATAGTAGTGGGATTCATTATTCTGTATTTGTACATGACAAATCTAATTCCATATCTTTCTTGGGTTTTAAACTTAAGAATTGCTGGGTTGAAATTCCATAAAATCCATAATATTTTAAATGTTATGTAGGTGTAAAAATTAATCACTTACAAATTTGCAACAATCCTTAAAAGAGATACTTGAAGGCACAGAAAAATGCTGGGTGATGAGAACTGTCATAGACTACATGGATAATTAGAGGGTGATTTCCTTATTTAGATGTTTATAAAATCTTCATATGTTAGTATGAAAAGAAAAATGTTCTTTTTTACCTCCAAAATATCCTGGTCCAAAGCATTTATTTTTTTCTTCATGAATTTATCAAAACTAAAATTTCAAAGTCCGAGTGTTTCATGAGTATTTTTCAAAAGACATGTTCAGTTGCAGTGCTTACCTTCAGAGCAAATAATTACCCATGACTTACTAACAAACAAAACAAGAGCACTTTTAAAGTTTCTCATATTTTTGCTTTGAATGACTCTCAAATTTTCTCCACATTCGAAGATAGCCAATTGTCCCACATGCAGATAATGCAGTAATAAATAGAACTAATTTTACTTAGATGTCTTATAGATTCTTTGAACACACATGTTCAGAGCTGAACTCATCTCCCTTAATCTCCCCAATGTTCTTTCTCAAGGCTTCCCCATCTTGGTAATTGGTACCATCACTTGCACAACTGCTATAGTCAAAATCATGTATCATTCTTGATTGTTTTCCTCTTTACTCTCATCTAATTTATCCCACCACTGTGTTGATTTCAATAGCATACCACATTTTCAATCAGACCCAGTCCCATTAGATCTTGTCATTTGGAATACTGCAAGAGTCCTAATTGCTTTCCCCTGCTCCCAATATCGTTCTCCACCTGGTCCAGTTGTTATACGACCATGCTGAAGACTATGAAAAATCCTGCAGTGGATCTCTCCACACTTGAACAAGAGCTGAACCCTTCATCCCCATTACTGAGCTGCTGCTCATCTCATCATATCTCTCTCCCCACTGCTCACTACCTTCTGGTCACATTGGTTTCCTTTTACTCTTAAATATACCAGGATGTAGGCCCTTTGCACATGTTGCTATTCTCCCTTTCTAGAATGCTATCTAATCAACTTCTTATAGATGTTCTTCCTGGCCAACTAATCCACTATTCTTATACTCATTAGCCTGGATACTTTCTGGTAGAAATCAACTGCCTGATAATATTATTCAAAAAATAAATGAGCCACTGAATTTAGAATAATGCAAGAAATTAGAGGGGGCACAGTGGGACATCTGCTCCAACCATGCGGTAAGCAGACGTCCAGAGCCCAGCCCAGCCCAAGGTGGGAGGGGGCACAGTCAGACATCCGCTCTGCCGGCCCACCCGGTAGGCAGAAGACCAGAGGCTAGCTGGGGGCCCAGCCAGCCACTGGCTCCGCCCAACACGGTAAGCAGACATGCAGTGCCTAGCCGGAGGCAGGAGGGGGCCCAGCCAGCCATCGGCCCAGCGACCCACCCTGCAGACCTGGAGAAGGGGCTGTCGTGGGGCACTGGGGTCAGACCAAAGGAGGCACAGAACGCAGAAACTTGGCTTGTGGGTCACCAGACCCAGCTCTGGACAAACATAAGGTCTCCCCAACATCCCCCACCTCATCAAACACGTTAGGAGAAAAACATATGGAACCCATCTTGGAAAATCCCACCAACCCTTTAAAGCCATCACCCTGTGGGCGTGGCTACCAGTGCATTCTGGGACGGATCAGG